TAAATCAGTTGGGATACTTCTTTGAGTATTTCTTTTCCTCATAAAAGAAATGTAATCAGTTTGTTTGCCAAGTATTTGAACTATTCATTTCTGTTGCCCTCTCTCAAGAACCATAAGACCTTGGATGCTGTATTATGAAATCATAACTTCTTTCCCTTGAAAAACTCCACAGACATTGTTTATTAATTCTAGCATTTGTTACTGTGGAGGAGAAGTTTGTTGTCAGCCTGATTTTATTTTTTTCTTTTTTGGGAATCCTGTTTGTTCTTACATGGGTCATGCCTTTGTAGGAACTTCTCTTTATCCTCAAATTGGAAACTGTTAACAAGATATAGCTTCCTTATAACTTGCTTTTTATTAATCTTGCACAATATCTAAGTCCTTCCTCACTTTACACAAACTAAACTATCCCCTTATTATTTCTTACATTATTCTTTCTATGCCATCCCGTGTTTTCTCCTTCTAGAGTTGCACAAATTGGCTCTATCTTCCACATCTCTGATTTTTTTTCTCATTATTTCTCTCTTATCTTTTTCTTTGACTTGAAAAATAATTTCTAGAGTTTGTTTTCTTCACTGATCTGGTTTGCTACAACTAATCTGCTGTTAACTGCCTCTACTTAAATTCTAATTTAGTAGTTTCACCTCTATACAGTATTTCATTTCCATATATTCTTTGGGGTTGTCCCTTCTTTACCATTTCTTTGATGAAAGAAACCTTGAACTCAACTTCACCAAGAACATACTTGATCTTTTTATTTTTAACTGTGTTTTTTTCCACATAGCTGGTGTTTATTCTCTTTGGTCATCTTTACAAACTGAACAGAGAACTGTTGTATTAGACGTTTAGAGGCGAATAGGTCCCTCTGAATCCTTCAAGCCCAGAGAGAGAAGGGAAAAGTTTACATTTACTACAGTTCAATTAGTTGGAACAGTGGCCCATGGGGGAGTAAAGAGAAAGTTGCACTGGGAGACAACCACATCTCCTCAAGACTTTCTTCCTTCTGGATACTGGGGTAGGCTGCATTTAGTTTGGGTAGTACCCCCATTCTCTAAATGTAGGTACTATTCTCATGCAGAGCCATATACCCCATTTTTAATGTGGGCATAACAGTCACATCGGAATTTCTGTTCTGTGGGCTCTGCTGCACACCTGGTACGCTTCTGAGAAACACTAACAAGAATGAGATTGGCCACCACACCATCTGCTATTTCCTTCAGCCCCTGTTGTGACAAACTGGGGGGGGTGGGGAGAGAGGTGGGTAGAGGGTGGGGATTATTACTGGATAGTACTGGGAAGATTCTCTCTCTCACTTCTCTATTTCATCACATTCACTCAAGCAAGTATTGTTTGCCTCATGTCTCAATCTGCTTTCATCCCGGAGCGTTTGGCATAAATAACACTTCTTACCTTCCAGCACTTATAATTAATTTTTCTCTCATTTTACATTCTTTTTCTCATTTTACTCGGAATCTAGAAGATTTAATCAAATTAATGAGTTTTGGGGACCCAGTGTATGAATTCAACCACAAGCCTGTGGCAAAGTTCACCAATTAACAGGTTAAAAATAACAATAATGGGCAGGTGCATCATATACAAAACGCATTATCTTCTTATGTTGAGGTAAAGAAAAATTATCAGAAGTCAAGATCTAAGAAAGTTTAGAAGCCAGTGAATGGAACATCTAGCTCTAAGAATGAAGTTTTAGAGACAAAATTATAGTCAGTGGATAAGAAGACAAAAATTTCTATCTGAACAGCTCATGTTGTAGGAGATCAGAAATTCATGGAAGAATGGAATAAGCTTAAGAGCTAGGTTTCGGTCTTTTAGGAAAAACAAAAATAGAAATCCAGGCAATCTGACTTCAGAGGCCAGACCCTTCACCAGACAGGCTACACTGCCTTCCTTAAGAAAAGTGACACAGACTGAGTGATGACTTTGTCGAGAGTGACACCAAGTGCTTTAATGATTTAATTCTTACAGCAATCCTGCAGCAGGTACAATAACTGTCCCCATTTTACAAATAAGGACACTGACCTAGAAATTATATAACTTGACCAAGATGACAACTAGTGAGTGGCAAAGTGGAGATACTCACAGCTGAAAAATGGGGGTAAAAACAAGGAAGTTAATCTAAATACAGCAAAGGGAATGTTAGTCCCTTGCTATTCAAAGGGTGGTCCAGAGACCAATATCTTTAACATCACCTTGGATCTGTTAGAAAAGCAGGCCCCACCTCAGAATTAGTGAGTTATAATCTGCATTTTAACAAGATCTTTATGTCCATTAAAGTATGAGCAGCAATGAGTTTGTCCTCTTTATAGCAGAGGAGAAACAGCACCCTCTTAAGCTGGTATAAAGCTGTATGAAAGATGTATAGAAATGAACCATGTGTGGCAATAGGGCTTGCACTAGTAGAAAAAAAAATCAAAATATTCAAAAATATTTCAGAACGTGATACTGGAATTGTCACTGGATTATCAAAGGCTAGTCAAAAGCCTGAATAATTCAAAAGCTGAGCAAATGCAAGGTTTGAGAGGTATACATGATGGATATAGCCCTTCCTGGGTTCCTAAGGGCACAGGCTAGGAAGCCCCCAACAACAGTAGCTCAGTTCAAAAAATGGAGGATTCTCCAGGTGAAGATAAAATGGGAGAAAAAGGTGAAACTTCACCTAGGTGGTAGGAGTTAAGAGGCTCAAGGAATTTTAGAGGAAGGGGAAACCCCAGCAACAAAATGACAGAAAATGACAGCAGAGGGATTTAAAAAAAAAAAACAGGTTTAGAATTCAGCCAGGATTAAATATATTCAGAGGATACAGCAGGAGAGAGAAAAGGGTACAAAACCACAAACTGTCCCTTAGAGAAATAACTATTTTGATAACTGCAGGAAACTCTGCTCACGAGACAAATAGTAGAGGATATATCCCTTTATAAATATTATGCTTTTATAACACCTAAAAAGAGGAGTAAAATACTGTCTCTCAACTACTCTAAACACTTCAGTTGTTTCCCACTATCGGTGCTGAACTGACAGCTCCATAAGGCATTTTTTGACCATCCCATTTAAAACTGAAATCTTCTCAACGCCAGCACTCTCTATCCTTCTTCCCAGCTTTATGTTTCTCTTTGGCATTTGCCGCTTTATAAAATATTCTAATGTGTATAGTTTTGGTTTACTGTTTTTCTGTCCCTACACAGTAGCAGGGTTTCCTTCTTTTTTCCGAGAGCTTAGTCTGTAGCTTAGCAGGTATTCAACAAATATTTTCTAAGTTCAGAAAAGACTGCTAAGAACACAAGTGTCAAAGAGGAAATGGAATACAAAATTAAGTTCTGAATACTTAATAAAACTCTAAAGTGTAAGCTCTGTGAGAGTAGGTATTTTTACCTCTTGCTGAATGTAAGAATGGATAAAGTAGAATGTTCATTATAATGTACCTAATTTCACTAATTCTAAGATGCATTTTTTTCATATTTTTACACCTCTGAAGACTTGTATTCAGTGCCATCTTAGAATTCATGTGGTCATGACATAGTTTTCTCATTGTGACATCACAACGATGATGTCATTGTGACATCAAAAAGGACAACATGAAAATTTGCAAAAGGTATATCAGTGGCTCAAAAGAAGGCCCAAGAGACACTAGTGAAGGAAAAAAAAAAAACAACTCGTTGCCATCAAGTCAATTCCGACTCATAATGACCCTGTAAGACAGAGTAGAACTGCCCCACACGGTTTCCAAGGAATGGCTGGTGGATTCAAACTGCCAACCTTTTGGTTAGCAGCCAAATGCTAACCACCACCTGCTGCACCACCAAGGCTCCAGAGACACTAGTAGAGCACTCTTTTAGCCTTTGGAAATCAAGAGTCAGAAGGTGGCTAGGTCAACATAACTGTAAAGCCAGCTTTAAAGCCAGCATCAATGACTTTTAGTTCTTTTATGACTTCTTTTAGGGAATGCTACATCACTAACACTTTTGATGGCACTAAAGACAAAACACTGTAGAAAAATAATGGGCCTCAATACCGAGTGGAAAAGCAATTCAGGAGCCAGATTTTGAATGTGAAGAAGTTTTAGATATATCTTAGCCAATTAATTTTGCTTACGATTTTCCTTTTTTTTTTTTAATGTATGCACCAGAGTGATATATCATAAAAATCTTTTAAGTCTAGGAGCTCTCTTTCAATAAACATGAAATAAAAATTCTGAGTGAGAGAAAGCACTGCATGACTTTGCTGTTACTCTGATCTTCTGGTGGACAATACTGTTTGGCCGTAAGCCTTTCTTTTAAATCCACAGGCATCAATGTAAAATATTTTGTCTGAACACTGTACCCCTAAAGAGAGATCAAAATATGTCTTCCTTTATTCCACTCCATAGGAAAAGAAGTGCTGAGGAAATAATGCTAAGGATACATTAGTGAGCCACAGTACACTAGGTGTAGCTCCCATGTAAATCGTAAAAAGATCAAATGTTCTTGCATCTACAGGTGAGATCTTGGATCTTCTGTCATTCCCTTCTGGATTTACTCTCTTCTCTCATATACCAGGTACAACAAAACGCTTCTTCCTCCTGACTTGTGAAGGATATTGTGAGAAGAGAAAATCAGGGTCTAAAGAAGAGAAAAAGTAGCATGGGACAGACATCCTGCTTCTGATCGAGGCAAAAAGAGTTCTTTTATACCAGAGCTAAGTTTACATGAGGCTTTGCAATCAAAATCTATAGGAATAAAAAGTGAATATTTACCCAGGATGTGCTTAGGAATCTACAAGGGTGGTGTTACTAGGTTCTGGTCTAGAAAATGTGGATTTGGAATTACAGCTTTGAACTGCTTAGAAATAAACAGCTAAAAATTAAAGTACTTTCTTTTTCCACCTAAGCATTGTCACTTTAGCAACCATAAAAACATGTGCTACAAATAACCAACATACTATTTTTAGGGGGAGAATAAAGGCCTATTTTAAATATAGACAAAATGTAATGTAGTAAACTGTTTTACCTGGAATGATCCAAGAATGTCCTTTAAAGGCTCTTCATAAAACTCATCTCTTCCAAAGAACAACAGCAACTCAAAGAAACTCCTAGAAAGAATAGATGAATGATAACTTTTCATTGCTCCTTTGAATTTTTGCCCCCCTATTTAGAGATTCTCAAGAGATAATAGCCATGTAATATTAATAGAAATATTTGGTCTAAAAAAGTGTATTAATCATTTAGGATTCATTCAGAAAATGTTAAATCATTTTAGTAAAATTTTAATAGAAGTATTAGGAAAATACAAAGAAATACATCTAAGTTCCAGAACTATAGAATGAAAAATTATGACATTACTCATGCCTACCAATGTCTACAATACAATACAATTCAACGGTATTTAAAAAAAAAAAAACAAACATGTTGCTGTCGAGTCGATTCTGACTCATAGCGACCCTATGGGACAGAGTAGAATTGCCCCATATAGTTTCCAAGGAGCGCCTGCTGGATTAGAACTGCTGACCTTTTGGTTAGCAGCTGTAGTTCTTAACCACTACGCCACCAGGGTTTCCTTCAGTGATGTACAAGGTGGCAAAACGGTGGCTATACATGTCAGAGATGATCTACAATGTGCACATAGTCCAGCTTCACTCTAGTACAATGAAAATCCAAAATCTAATTTTTTCCAGAGGACATAAGGGATGGATAAAACTGACAGAAAAAAAATGTGAGTTAATGAACCACCATGAAACTCTCAGTCAGCATACACATTATAGCATATACCAACTATAATAAATAACACATGGGTCCTCAAACTCTAGCCTTACCTTCATTATGCCACTCATAAGAGGAATGCCCAAATTCTGTGGTTCTTCCTTTTTAAATAAATTATTTGGAAAGTATTGTTACTAACTACTTTCTATGCCTTTAATAATTCTCAAGTCCATACAGGAAGAAATAGTATTTCCTAATCATGAACATGGAAAAGTATTTAATGTTATTTAACAATCAGATAAAGTAGCATGAATAAATCCCTCAAAATCCTAAATTTTAATTTATCTAGCAGATATTTGGCTAGGAATACCTAAAGTTGTATTTTTTATAGTTATTGCCTTTTGTCAAAATAAATCACTAATAAAAACTGAAAATCTTTTAAATGTAACCTATAAGAATGTATAGTTTTTAAAAACGGAACATATAAAGGACCTTTCTAAGTATTACACAATAAGCATATGCCTTAAACTCATATTTTATAAATCTGACTATTTAAAATACAGGAAAAAACAGATCTGTCTGTCAGTCTCTCATACTGTGGTAGCTTGTGTGTTGCTGTGATGCTGGAAGCGATGCCACTGGTATTTCAAATACCAGCAGGGTCACCCATGGTGGACAGGTTTCAGCTGACCTTCCAGACTAAGACAGACTAGAAAGAAGGACCTGACAGTCTACACCTGAAAAAAACTAGCTAGTGAAAAACTTATGAATAGCAGCAGAACATTGATATAGTGCTAGAAGATGAGCCCAGGGTTGGAAGGCACTCAAAATGCGAATGGGGAAGAGATGCTTCCTCAAAGTAGAGTTGACCTTAATGACATGGATGGAGTCAAGCTTTCGGAACCTTCATTTGCTGATGTGGCACAACTCGAAATGAGAAGAAACACCTGCAAGCATCCATTAATAACAGGAATGTGGAATGTATCTAGGAAAATTGGGAATCATCAAAAATGAAACAGAACACATAAACATCGATATCCTAAGCATTAGTGAGCTGAAATGTATTGGTATTGGCCATTACGAATCAGACAAACATGGTCTACTATGCCAGGAATTACAAATTGAAGAAGAATGGCACTGCATTCATCATCAAAAAGAACATTTCAAGATCTAGCCTGAAGTACAGTGCTGTCAGTGATAGGATAATATCCATACGCCTACAAGGAAGACCAGTTAATATGACTATTATTCAAATTTACGTACCAACCACTAAGGCCAAAGATGAGGAAACTGAAATTTTTTACCAACTTCTGCAGTCAGAAATTGATCAAACATGCAATCAAGATGCATCGATAATCACTGGTGACTGGAATGTCAACACTGGAAAAGAAGGACTGGTAGTTGGAAAATACGGCCTTGGTGATAGAAATGACGCCAGAGATTACATGACAGAATTCTGCAAGGCCAAGGACAACATTTCAAATACCTTTCTTCACCAACATAAATGGTGACTATACACGTGGACCTCGCCAGATGGAATACACAGGAATGTAATCAACTACATCTGTGGAAAGAGATGATGAAGAAGCTCAATATCAGTCAGAACAAGGCCAGGGGCCGACTGTGGGGCAGACCACCAGTTGCTCATATGCAAGTTCAAGGTGAAGCTGAAGAAAATGAGAAGTCCACAAGAGCTTGAGCATATCCCACCTGAACTTAGAAACCATCTTGAGAATAGATTTGACACACTGAACACTAATGACCGAAGAACAGACAAGTTATGGAATGACATCAAGGACATCATACACGAAGAAAGCAAGAGGACATTAAAAAGACAGGAAAGAAAGAAAAGACCAATATGGATGTCAGAAGAGACTCTGAAACTTGCTCTTGAACATAGAGTAGCTAAAGCGAAAGGAAGAAATGATGAAGTAAAAGAGCTGAACAGAAGATTCCAAAGGGTGGCTCAAGAAGACAAAATAAAGTATTATAATGAAATGTGCAACGACCTGGACTTAGAAAACCAAAAGGGAAGAACACACATGGCATTTCTCAAGCTGAAAGAACTGAAGAAAAATTCAAGCCCAAGTTACAATATTGAAGGATTCTATGGGGAAAATATTAAATGACACAGGAAGCATCAAAGAAAGACTGAAGGAATACAGAGTCACTGTACCAAAAACAACTGGTCAACTTTCAACCATTTCAGGATCAAGAACCGATGGTACTGAAGGAAGAAGTTCAAGCGGCACTGAAGCATTGGCAAAAAAAAAAAAAAGGCTCCAGGAATTGACCGAATACCAACTGAGATGTTTCAATGTACAGATGCAGCACTGTAGGTGCTCGCTCATCTATGTCAAGAAATTTGGAAGACAGCTAATTGGCCGACGGGAAGAGATCCATATCTGTACCCATTCCAAAGAAAGGTGATCCAACAGAATACAGAAATTATCGAACAGTATCATTAATATCATACACAAGTAAAACTTTGCTGAAATCATTTAAAAGCATTGCAGCATTACATCGAAAGGAACTGCCAGAAATTCAAGTTGGAATCAGAATACGACATGGAACAACAGATATCACTGCTGATGTCAGACAGATCTTGGCTAAAAGCAGAGAATACCAGAAAGATATTTACCTGTGTTTTACTGACTATGCAAAGACATTTAATTTGACTGTGTGGATCATAAAAAATTATGGATAACACTGCAAAGACTGGGAATCCCAAGAGGCGGAGCCAAGATGGCAGAGTAGTCAGACAGCTTCCTATATCCCTCTTACGACAAAGACCTGGAAAAACAAGTGATTTGATTGTATATGAATATCTAGCAGCCCTGAACAAGGCAAAGTTGAGGAATTGGACTGAGTGGCAGGCAGAGAGGGAGACAGTTCGGAAGAAGCGTGGAGCGCCAGACCAGCGGCGGGAGCCGCAGCTCTTCAGCCCCGACCGGCACCGGGTGTGCAGTGAAGCAGGCATACAGCTCTGCCTGCGCACTCGGGAGGCAGTTTCCACATCAAGAGAGATCCAGCAGCATAGATTCTGCTTGGACACTCCAAACCAGTGAAAACGAGCTCCCAAGTGGCTAAAGATAAGTACATGCGTGTGGCCTTTCGTGGGGATTTAAAAAAAAAAAAAAAACCCATCTGGGAAAAACCTCTCTCCCTTTTACCTCTTCCCTCCCTGCTCTGCACGGGTCCAGCCGGCTTCTGAAGTCTCTGAGTCCCCTAGGCCGGAAGTAGATAGCATAAGGCACCCTGACCCATTCTCCTGGCCTTGGAGAGGGATCAAATTCACAAGGTAAAAATAAGCTACTGGCTCCCCTAAGCCAGGAACTCAGGGTTGGCACATCTCCTTTGCTAGGCACAGGCATAAGGGGTCCGCAGACTTCGAGTGCCTTCCACCCATGTATAGACTTGTACAGACACATCTCAACAGCATGAACCCTCATTACCACAGTACAACAGGGGAAACACCTGAAGTCTAACTTCAACTGTTTCAGCTATGAAGTGGCAGATTTGTGGTGCTTGATACAGCCCTGCCCTCTACGCAGGCACCGTTACTGGTCAGAATCAGGGGCTTCAGAACTGGTGACTCCACCTATGCCCCCTAATCACCTGCTACAGGGGTCCAAGAAAAAGTGGTGCCCCCGAGTCTTTACAGCCAAAATATTAGGGTGCTCATGCTCCAGCTGCAAAACTCGCCGACGTACTTGCAATAGGGAATAGGGACACGCTTTCATTTCAGGCACACAGGCAGCCGTCAGCCCCCTACCTTGCTTAGTGCGTGACCCCCTACTGCAACCAGATACATGTGCCTACACCAATCACCCATGCCTCTCTAAGACTATAAGGGAGAGCCTGCACCACACACTTGGTGACTGACTGCCTGGACACCTGAGCTGAATCCATACAGGAAAATTTAACGGACTCCTGCGTACACTATACTTAGTTACGGAACTAACTACCCGGTGACAGGACGCTAGAGCTTCAAAGGTGCCAATAAACTAGCACAAACAAGCACCTATCTGGGCATATCAAAATAAAATAAAACAGGAAGCTACGAAACACTAAACAAATATAAAATAAAATTATAATAATTTATTGATGGCTCGGAGACAACAGTCAATACCAAACCACATGAAGAAGTAGTCCATGATGGCTTCAGCAAGCTCCCAAATGAAGAATCAATAAATTCATTGAAGGAAGAGAACTTCTTGGAATTACCAGCGGCAAAATACAAAAGATTAATATACAAAACTCTTTTAGAAATTAGAAAAGAAATTCATCAAAACATAGACAGCCAAAGAACACACAAAGTAGTAGCAGAACTTCAAAAAGCTATTCAAGAACAAAATAACAAATTTAATAGGCTGCAAGAATCCATAGAAAG